AACCGGTTCTTTTCAATTCGTTAAGGTTCCTATTTTTCATAGGCTTTCTATCGTTTATCGGTTCCGAAATTATTTAATAGCATTCCTGTGAATTATTTCATAGGATTCCAATAAAGTTTCATGGGGTTCCTAATTATTCTAATAAGGCTCCTAATAATGCAATTTGATTCCCATCAATTTTAGGGTTCTTATTCATGTTAATGGCATTCGTATAAATGTTAATAGAGGTCTCATTCGTTTGAAAGGAATTCGTTTAAAAGGAATTCCTGTTGGTTTAGGCTCATATTCTTTTAGTATGGTTCCTATAAATTCTTGTTTTTTTCGAATCTTATTTAGAAGTCATATTCGTAGGATTCCAGTAAAGTTTCATATGGTTCCTAATTATTTTGATAAAGCTCCTACTAATGCAGAAAGATTCATATCAATTTTAGAGCTCTTATTCATTGTTCATTGGATTCGTATCAATTTTAAAGATTCATTCATTTGAAAGGGATTCCTGTTGGTTTAGGCTCATATTGATTTTAGTAGGATTCCTATTAGTTAAGAGTTCACATTTTTATAGGAATCCCAATGATTCCTACTAATTTTAGTAGGGGTCCTTTTCAATGTATTAGGATTCCTATATTATACAAGGCTCTCATTAACTTTAATCGGGTTCCTATTCATGCTCATAGGCTTCCTATTGTTTTTTTATACAGTTCCGATTAATTTTAATAGGGTTCCTATGGATTTAAGGAGGATTCCTATTTGTGTTTGTAAGATTCCAATGAATTTTCAAAGTTCGCCTATTTTTAATAAGGCTCCTACAAATGCAATATGATTCTTATCAACTTTAAATAGGGTTCTGTCATTTGAATAGGGTTTCCGTTGACTTTAATGGTATTAAGGGTCTCATTCATTTTAAAGGGTTTTCCTCTTCATTGAATAAGATTCCTATTATATTTACCAAAAGTATCTCTGCATACAAATATATTGCTTGTTAGCGTGTCTGGCTACTGTGTGCAGCTATGCTGTCCGCGTATATATATATATATAGAAAACATGTATAGTATACATAGATATACGCATGTACATATGTACTGTTTACTGTTGCTTTTACATTGCTGTCCTGTTTCTATTGATTTTCCCTAGTGATTTTACATTGCTGTTCTATTGATTTGGGAAGAACGGATACGAATTGCAAAGGCTTGCTGTTTGAATTAGAAACCCTGAAACCCGTGAAATCTGAGGCAGGAATTAAGCCCCGAAACATGGGTTGCCAAGCTCTGCAAATGGGGTTGGAAAGCCCTGAAAATGGATTGACAAACTCTGATAAACGAATGATTTTCTATTGATTTTAGGATTCGTTTTCAATTGATTTTAGGATTCATTTTCCTACTGATTCTAATTATTAAAAATTCTATTGATTTCGAAGGACACATCTATTGAAATTCCATCAATTTCTATTGATTTTATGCATCCATGAAACGCTTGAAAAAAACTAAATTCTATTGATTCCGAAGTAAAATTCAATGTTGAAAAATTCAATAGCGATTGATTTTTTCAATTTCGGATGGTCTGGATTCGGTTGCCGACCTCAACGGCGCGCGCGGTAAGACGGAGTTTTGGTTTCGACGCTTCCGCTGTGGTTTCGCGCGAATTCTGGCCTCTTGTGGCCTCTTCAGGCCTCTTCTGACTGAAGTTGCCGACTGCAACGGCGCGCGCGGTGGAGAAGGGTCCTTGGTTTGGATGCTTCCGCTGTGGTTCGCGCGAATTCCGTTGCGTTCTTTTTTTTGAAGCGGACGCCCCTTTTCCACATCAGCAGAACAGTGGGCCAGTCTTGCAACAGAGACAACCACTTTGAGACTGTGCAAGCGAGCGTCAGGGATCATTGTGCCCCACCTAAACCCTAAAAGTCTGCCGCTCCAGAGGTTGCGCCCGCCTGTCTTTGTTGCTCAGGTGAGCTTACGCTGTTGTTTGCTCCAGAAACAAGCACCCACGTCAAGCTCATGAAAAACTGGCATGTCCACATGATTAAGCAGAACTGAACGCGACGTTTGGGTTATCATCCGTGGTTCTAAGACTCTCCCTAGGTTCACCTTGGTCCAGGTCGACATGCCATAACTTGTTTTTTTTTGAGTCTCACAACCATAAGATCATCAAGACATGAATGTCCAGCAATTTCAAGGTTTCCAGGCTCAACACACACTCTCGCAGAATTATGATGACGGTGTTTCAAAGTCGTGGTGAAAACTACGATCGGAAGACCCTCAAGACCGATTTCGGCGAAACTGTTCTGTTTTGGCGATAGTGGTTGGTGTGTGGTAGGTGGTAGTGTTGTTGTGTGGGTGGTGGTGGTGTTGTTGTGTGGGTGGTGGTGGTGTTGTTGGGTGGTGGTCTTGTTGTGGGTGGTGGTGGTGTTCTTGTGGGTGGAATGTTGGTGTTGTTTGTTGTGTGGGTGGTGGGGTGGTGTTCTTGTGGGATGGTGTTGTGTGGGTGGTGGTGGTGTTGTTGTGTGGGTGGTGGTGTTGTTGTGGGTGGGTGGTGGTGTTGTTGTGTGGGTGGGTGGTGGTGTTGTTGTGTGGGTGGGTGGTGGTGTTGTTGTGTGGGTGGGTGGTGGTGGTGTTGTTGTGTGGGTGGTGGTGGTGCTTTTGTGTGGGTGGTGGTGGTGTTGTTGTGGGTGGTGGTGGTGGTGGTGTTGTGTGGGTGGTGGTGGTGGTGTTGTTGTGTTAGTGGTGGTGGTGTTGTGTGGGTGGTGGTAGTGTTGTGGTGTGGGTGGTGGTGGTGGTGTTGTGGTGTTGGTGGTGTTGTGGTGTGGGTGGTGGTGGTGTTGTTGTGTGGTGGTGGTGTTGTGGTGTGGGTGGTGGCGGTGGTGTTGTTGTGTGGGTGGTGGTGGTGTTGTGGTGGGGGTGGTGGTGGTGTTGTGGTGGTGGTGGTGCTGTTGTGGTGGAGGTGGTGGTGTTGTGGTGGTGGTGGTGCTGTTGTGGTGGAGGTGGTGGTGTTGTGTGGGTGGTGGTGTTGTGTGGGTGGTGGTGTTGTGTGGGTGGTGGTGTTGTGTGGGTGGTGGTGTTGTGTGGGTGGTGGTGTTGTGTGGGTGGTGGTGTTGTGTGGGTGGTGGTGTTGTGTGGGTGGTGGTGGTGTGTGTCTGGGTGTTGTCTGGGTGTTGTGTGGGTGTGTGTGGGTGTTGTGTGTCTGGGTGCTGTCGGGGTGCTGTCGGGGTGCTGTCGGGGTGCTGTCGGGGTGCTGTCGGGGTGCTGTCTGGGGGTGCTGTCTGGGTGCTGTCTGGGTGCTGTCTGGGTGCTGTCTGGGTGCTGTCTGGGTGCTGTCTGGGTGCTGTCTGGGTGTGTTATCTGGGTGTTGCGTCTGGGTGTGTTGTCTGGGTGTGTTGTCTGGCTGTGTTGTCTGGCTGTCTGGGTGTGTTGTCTGGGTGTTGGGCGCGTGGGCGCGTGGGCGCGTTTGCGCGTGGTGTGTGGGCGTGTGTGGGTGCGTGTGGGCGTGTGTGGGTGCGTGTGGGTGTGTGGGGTTGTGTGCGGGTGAGTGCGGGTGTGTGGGTTTTTTTTTGGAGGCGAGCTTCTTTACCACATCAGCGGCGCAGTAAGTGAATCCATCAAACCTGTTGCTTGAGAAGTAGGTGAGACAGAGCAACAGCACCACAAAGAAAGAAACGAACACAACCAACCAAAGCAAACGACGCACCTACGCTAACTATGTGAAACAGCCGGTGTCTCAGAACGCGTGGAAGAGAAATAGTGCATTGTATACAAGCAGTGGAATATTCGACCCAATCTTCAATCGCTTGCACATCGCAGTAAGCAGTCAAGTGAGCCATCGCACACGAGCATGCAAACTAGCGCCAAGCAAAGAAGGGCGGAGTGCTGATCCCTGCAACAACCAGCCTTTTCACAAACGATCAGCGCCGATTGACACCGAGTGATTACATATCGCATCAGCCAGTCAGCTCGACAAGGAAGCGCCAACCAAGATACACACCACTGTCATATCCCAAGCCATCTGTGTGGCCACAGATCCACGTGCCATTTCTGCACGTAATCCGATCCACAAACTTGCTTCAGTCACGCACCAAACCAGTCCATTTTCGCAAGCCATAGCAAAGCATTGCCAACTCCGTTCTTTTTTACCGTGTGCGGAGACCTGCACGCTCGGCATATCCCCAACATTGAGCTCAGCGACAGAGCCATGTTGGCGGTAAGAAGCGAGGCTTTGACGAAGGCCGCCAACCAATTGGCAGATGTGATCTTTTTCATACTCACGGCCCTGGTAACGGGCCGGGTATTGGGCAAGTTCACTAGACCACCATTTGGCTGGCCAGCCAGGCACCTCGAGTGCGGGTGTGTGGGTGAGTGTTCGGGGACTCCCGGGTCCGCGGCGACTTGGGCCTTTGCGTGTGAGTTTCAGTCGACCGGTTTGGACCCCTGCGCCATGATCCCAATGACGTAGTTTCAGTGTCTCCATCAGGTCAACTTACAATCAACCTGTCAAAGGAAAGAAAATACAGGGCAAACAAATATCACTTTGAGGCAAATAGTACCAGACTAGACCACAATGCCCACCAGAACTTTCGACGCCTTTAAATGTGTTGTGTTGACGTTTGAAAATGGCCAACAGAAACATGTGGCTTTCTGCAACGAGAGGTCAGTTATGCACTTTTTCCGTAGTTTGGTTGATGAACGTAAAATGTGTTAGCACACAGTCGGGCCAATGTTTGGATAGATTTACTTGCGTTTTCACCACAAATGTCTTGTGGCACGAACTTGCAAGAGTGCGCGTCCCTTGCAGTCATTGTTGGCATATTTTCAGAAGATTAAGTTGTCATTTTCATGATCACAAACAGTGCAAGCACCCTTCAACACGTGCAATCAGCATGCAATGGTTAGAGAGTCTTGCATGTGATACTCTTCACCAACAGCAATACATTTGAGAACTTGCATGCAATTCTGTGCAGAGTCACCATGCTTTCGCAACCCCTGGCTCCCCTGGGCAGTCCACAGCCAGAGCGGCCTATGCAAGAGCGGCTTCGGCATCTTTCACCCCAGAACACGCCGTCCAGGCCTCATCAGCTGCGCGACCACTTTTCACAACACCAATTACCGGCGACGCCTGTGTCACTGTCGCCCTTGGAACTTCAAAGGGGGTGTGTGGATGCGACGTCCACCAGTCCTCAGACGAAGCGGGTTCAATACTTAAGTCCTCAGCTTCGGGACGCCGAACACTCCATCGATTACCTTTGCCACAAGTTCGAAGCCTTGTCACGGCAGCTTCGCCGTGAGGAGCAGGCAAGGGAAGCTGCTGAAAGGCGTGGACAACAGCTTGCTGCCGAGTCCTTCCAAGCTGAGAAGTACAAGGATTTACAAAGCCATTGCTTCCAACTTGTGTGTTCATTGTTGGGACAGCCGGGAATTGTTTGTTTGCCACCTCAGAGTTTGTAGGAGCAGAGCACCAATGCGTTGATATCCGAGCTGACGTCGCGGCAGGCGCACCCTTGAAAGTTAGAATGCCATCGCAGATCTCAGATCTTGAAGCCTCCACGCAAGCCCACCGCAGGCTGCCATTGCCACTCTCCGTGAACAAGCGGGTCTGGCGGGCCAACATGCGGCACAGCAGGCCCATCGCCTCCGCGAGGCATCGGCACGGTAGTTTTCAGGCTTGAGAGCGGGTTCAAAAGTACATGTTTCGATTCAACTCGCGGACCCGATGACTCGAGTATGAACCTGTTTGTACGAGTTGATCGCCAAACGTTTTTCACAAGAGGCATGGGGTTACATGTAAAGATGACAGCATAGAAACTTTATGACGCGACCCGTGCCTTGTCTTCGGGAGTCCACTCACTTCTTACAACTTGTTTTTCAGGGCCTTGGACTTGGTATCATTTGGTTCACTAGTGACATAAAACGGAGCCGTACAGTTTGCCAGCTCTAATCCCCAAGACAAAAGAGTCCATGTGAAGTTGTGAGGAGCATGCGGCGGGCGTTTCCGCCGAGCAGCGCTGTGCCGTTCTTTCCGAGGAGTGGGCAGGGTCTGATATGTCAGCGATTTGAAGGTGTTTGGGGTTTGCGGGTTGAGGGTTGATTGCAGGTAGGGTCAACATGAGTCAAACTTCATGCGCAAAGGTGGCACCCTGAATTGAGTTTGATTGACATGCGGAAGAGGGACTCGTGGGCACTACCTCTCTTCCATTGTGACACCCCAACAAGGACCAACAACATCAAACAACCCTTGAGTCTCATGTGCAGGAGTGCCGGCGCATTTCCGAACGCTATGATCAAGCGGTGCAAAGGCTCGCTTTGGAGGAGCGGGAGCTTCTCAAGCCTGTGATGTTGTTAGGTTGTGGGGTTTCGGGTGAACTCCGGCTTGGCAAATGGATTCAATCTCGAGCCCTACACTTGCCCTAAACCTCACAGCTCAAGCCTCTTAGCCTGTCCATGAAAACCGGCAATTACGCTACGGGATGATGGGAGATGGGCTCTGTACACAGTTCCCAAACAAAGTGTGTGGAGTTTTATGGCAATATGTGTGGTTCTGTTGACTGAGAGCAGACTGCGTGTGAAATAGAGAGGGGGTTCTCCTTCGCTGGGTTGGAAGAGGAAGAGAAGGGGAGAGGGAACAGAAAGACAGAGAAAAAGAGATAAACAGAGAGAAAGAGCGAGAGAAACAAATGACTTTCGTGTAAGTGTTCACACGGACTGAGACAAGAAGGCAGGCCTGGCGCACGGGAGTCCGTGGGCCTTTCAAGCCCTGGAGAAGACGAGGCAGAGAGCGCGATAGACATTGGGCTCCCTGTTCTGATGCACGGGCCTTGGGAGGTGGCCTGGACTGGAGGCAACTGACATGAAGACGAAGAGCGACGGCATATTGGAAAGTCATGTTTTGCGCAAAATGCTCTACATAATGAAATTACGAATCCTATGACAGTTTGCATGTTTGTTTGTGGTGTGTTTGTTTTGTGTTTGTTTTGGAGGACCGGGAGATCGCCCGAGCACGCTTCGAGGCTCAGAGCACAGGCCGCCGTTTGCGCCAGGCGGAGGCCGACATGCAGGCGAGGGGGTTGACGCCCTCGCGGCAATTTTCGGGTGGCCTCCAAGCTTTAGTGTTCCCCAGCTGTGTGGAGATACTAAGACAAGAGCCCATTATCTCAACGTTTCTACTCATGTCAAGCTGATGGGAAGAAAGCTGTTGAATTGATCCTGGCCATGGTCTTGCACAACAGTCGCGTTAACGACGTTAGCCATTGATCCCTGAGGCCTAGCCCAAGGCAGAACCCTGAATCAAATGTTTTCACCAAGCAAGTCTGAACCTTCGCACAGAGTTGTAAGAGCACCAGCAGTTCAACAGAGGTGCGCATGGATTGAATAGAGTGACTCTGAGCATCGGCCTTGCAGGTGGTCCACGAGGATCTGCGAGTGGAAGCGCAACGCCCCTGGGCCACACTTACTCAGGCTTTGCCCTTGGCTTTTGTTGCAGGATTCTGGGCGCGCACGTGTGTTTCTAACGGTCACTGCGGGGCACGAACCCAGCTCTTCCTTCCACTGTCCACACTTCTAGCATGCTGCAGCATATGCTGCAGCTGTATATATGCTGGTAAAGTCAGTTCGCCCAAACATCGGCTCTCCAAGATCTCCAATCCCGGCACGTCCTGATGAGGACAACTACTGGCCCAGCAAGAGCTGCACCGTTTGGAGCAACTTGTGGAGGCGAAAGAAGGTTCTTTGTTTCGTTGTTAGCCAAGGGAGTTCTTGTTGCTATGAGAGCCACTACGAGCTTTCTCAAATTGGAGGGGCACGGAGTCGCTCATGCTCCCAACCCAGCTCTTGGCTTTCTTTGTGCCCTGTTCCTCTTTGCGGACTTTTGGCTGTTGTTGCTCAAGCCCAGGTTGCGTTTTTGTTTTTCCCCGAATTGCCCGCAAAGGGTTCAGGAGCACAGGAAGCAAAGCTTGGCAGACTAACGGTGATGTGGAATAAGGCTCCCAGGCCAGCCGCCGGATGCTAAAGCCAAAGGGCAGAGTCGTAATAACCGTAATAACCATGATAACCCCGGCATTTGGGCCGTTGCACCCTCAAAGCGTGTGAAACAGCCTGCTCGTGGAGCGGGCCGGCATTTCATTGTGATGGTGCTTGCACTTACAAGTCAGAAGGACTTGCCAGTCGAGCTGGGGAACAGTGCAGTGGAATAAACGTTGTCGGAATTGCAATCATAGTTGGAATAGGAATCGAAGTAATTGCTCGGGCAGGGGGGGGGGTAGTGGTAGTGATGGAAGTTGTAGCGGCATTGGGTATTCATACTACTAAGTAGCAATACGCGTTTCGGAAGTTGCCCTGCAAAAGACGTAGCCCCACAAAGCCTGAACCAGGCTGTGGCGCAGGAGTATTGGATGACGGAGCAAGAGGCAGAGCGGCAGGAGCAGGCGCCATGGCGTCATTTGGAGTAGACGTCTTGCGTGCAAGACGTGCACATGCAAGAGAATAGGAAGCGCAACCATCATGAGGAAACTCGGCTCATCTGCTTAGCCGTCCCTCAAACTTGTAACTGGTTTTGGCCTTGTTTGTCTGATATTGTCTTATGACTGGCACATGCGAGATTTGATGTGAGCATATTGAGATCTTCCCAATGTGCTTATTGCTGCATGGGTGATCATGTTAATGTTGTGTGCTTGGAGTAGCTGTGACAGGCTCTTTTCTTCGTTCAGAGGCATAGCTTGTACTGCGAACAAGGTTCGTGTACTTGACGAGTAGATAGCACGGGCCAGACAAATGCTGCCTGGCATTCGCTGTTTGCTACGTGTCATCGAATGCTGCCAAGCCTTTCTTTTGACAGAATCCGGGCCCTCGTCGGTTTTGATTTGCATGAGCTGCCATGCAGCCACAGATGTCAAGGCTGACACAGAAACGTGTTGTGGAAAACATTGTTTCAACCGCAACTGCTTTCCGATGCCTTGATGGAAGCGGAGAAGTCCTTCACATGAATCCTCACAACATCCTCGTCACACCTGGCAGGCCACAAACTTTGTGCTTTTCTGGCTTAGGTCCTAGGTGTAAGGGGTTCAGTTTTGCAACATATTGAGATATGCACGTTGAGCAGTTTTGCGTAGTTTTGTATTTTTCTGCAGCATTTGCTGAGCTTTCTCTGCAACCCTATGAAAATTCAGAGTCGCGTTTTTGCCCCCGCAAGGTTCTCGGTCAGAGGCACCAGGACATCAGGGCGGAGGATGTTGAGCTCGTGGCGTTGAAGGATTCCGTACAAGAAGTCCAAGCCGAACCTCTGACTGCATCCTGGGGGGCATGTGACTCGCATTGTTTGGCTTGCGCGTCTGGATGTCGTCTAGAAGGTCACAGAGTTGGCCTTGACATCTCAACATGGTCGGAGTGTTTGTAACGCAGCTATCTTGAAATTTCTATAGCGAGGCACACTGATTTCCGATATCTTTGGTTGGTGACCGTTCCTTCATGATGGCAGCGAATGGACAGGGCGCTTCGCTGTGAGATGGCTATGAGCGTGCAAGCATGACACCAAGCATTTGTTTCATGAGTATGCGCTGAGCAGCCTGATCTTTTGTTCGCATGAACGCATATCACTCCTTGAAAACATGTCGGGTTTTGAATCACGAGTTAGGAGATGCTGCGTTTCACGCGGCAGCTGGCCCATGTGGATGATGAGTGCGGGAAGCTCGAGTTCCAATTGAACGATGTGCGGCAGGTGATCAGCACTGGGTTTCAGTCGATTCGTGTTTTCGAGTTTGGGTTAGGTTTTGTTTGAGGCTTACCGCGTATTTCTTGCCTGTATTGCAGGGCGAGGTTGTCGGGTCCAGTAGAAACGTCGGTTTCATTGGACCCACTAGGCTCCTGGAACATTTTTTAGCATGATGAGAGTAGTGTGTGTCATCCCTACTATTCAGACAAACCCACTTTCTACAGCATATCGAATCACATGTGCGAGGATCTTCAGCCGTGCCGATGAGTACACGGAATGCTCAACTTAGCATAACCTCACGACCAAACAGTATCTAACACCCAATAACAAGTCTCCATGCATCCACGCATTCGCATCCACGCTGTAACTTCACTGGATGAACACCATGATCGAGCGGTTTCGACCATCCGGGCTGCGGCATCGAAACAGGACATCGGAATTCATCATGAAGTACCACTTGACGACGCCGTAGGAGTTTTAGACTATCCACCCTGTACCCTTTTTCACATGAACCCTCCTGTTGCACTGCTGCTACACTCTCGGGGAAAGTTGCAGGCCATTCTCGCAGCGGGCGAGGAGATCGCGGCCCGAAGGTCCGACGTGAAGGTGGGATCTGCGGTCTCGGGCTAGGGGGTTCCAATTTTCGGTTCTGGGAGTCAGGATTTAGATCGCGCTTGGAGCCTCGGGCGGCTAAACAATTGCGTTGGATTTCAGGTCGTTGGACGTGCTACCCTAAACTCTGATCTTGAATGTCGGCGACATGTTAGATGAATAATACCTACTTGTAATGCACATTCAGGCAAGTGGATTGATGGATTCATTGTTTCATGACTAAAGCTAGCTCCTTGCAGTAGTTGCCGTTTACAAGTTGCCCTGCATCTCCCGCCCAGCCGATTGGGCTCACCTCCCAGCTGCATCTTTGATGAGGGTTTGATAAAGGACGAAGGCAAAGGAAACCAACCCGAGAGGATTCGGGAGTTGTCGGGAGGAAGACGTATGTATGGATCGTAGTGGTGCACAGTTGCCTGTGGCCATCTGCTGCCAGGCCCAAAGAGAAGCAGCCGGCTCCCTGCGCAGTTCCTCGGACACATGCTTGTGTGGGCTGTATATTTTTTCCAATTTGAGCAGCTGATGGGTTCGACTCACTGCAGCGCATGTCGAGCGAAGTCTCGAGTTTGGTGACATGGTGTGCTCGGGACGGTGCTGCAAGCTTGATTCCATACCCTGGCCCTGCATCCTATGGTTTTATTTTCTCTACGCATGCCATCTCAATTAAACTCCAGCCTGCGAGCCGTGACCCGCGCTTCTGTTCGCAGATATATTCCCTGTTACACTCTGGGACTCTCAGGTGAACTGAATGCGCTGGAAGCTGGCCGGATGTCCAAGGAGCAGGCTCCCTCGCAACAGACAAGAGCTTCGCAGAAGGATGCCTCGCACAAAAGCCTTGCCTTCCACCTCGAAAGCCATCAAGAACCATCACTGCAGTAAGTGTCTCTGAAAATTTTGATGCCATCTGCCGATGCAAGCCGTCGCACACCGACAGAACAAGGTGTTCAATGCGTGTTCTATACAGCGTGCTCTTTCGTTATGCCTCCTGGTGCTGACACGTACGACCTGGCTGCGTTCACTGTTGAACGTGTACCGTGCAGGCTTACACTGCATATGCACGTAGATCCAAGTTCCTCGGCCGGGTTTGACGTGCAACTCCCCGTTTTACTTCTTCGAAGCGGCTTGCTTGCAAGCTTGTCCAACCAAGCCACCCAGGGCGACAAGAACTGACTACAGTGGCGAAGCTTTCCCAAGCACGCGGTTTTTCTGGGGGTGAATCACGGTGTGGGCGTGATTTCCCTCCGCACGACGCCTTGCCGACAACGGTGGAGTGTGAGGGCAAGACCTTGCTGGCCGAAAACACAGCGCCCTTGCATTGTCAAGGTGATGCAGCAAGAATGGAAGTTGTGAAAGCTCGGGGCTAGCTTCGAGTAGTTGTGGGTGCGTGAAGGTGAAGTGGAAGGCACTTCGCATGCACTTCCCGCAGCGCGGTGTGTCGCACGTCGAAGCTGGAAGCCTGGTTGCTGAGGACAAAACCCGTAGCCTATCAATGTGGCCTGGGCAGTTGGGAGGCTTTTAGCCTGACGGAATATCTCGCACGCTGTTTTTGCAGTCGAGGGAGAAGGTGGGGCGAACTGACCATCATGTTTTGATTTCCTCGTGGTACTTGTAGCTTTCTTTGGTCGTCGGGTTCCCCGGACTCATATGAGTGCGACTTACTGGTTTTCAGGTGGCTCTGGCTTTTGAGATGCCGTTGCCAGCTCCAGCCAAATTAAATTGAGGCACCCTGCTATGCAGCCACTCACTCGCATCTAAAGAAGCCCAGCCGACGGCACGGCGCTGCGCGACTTCTTGCTGGAGCTTGATATCCTGGTCGTGAATGTTGGGTGGTTTCGGACACGCGTGAGGTGTCACACCCGCTGGGGCGATGTTGAAGGGCGTCCTTCATCCCAGTGCAGTGTTCATCGCTGCACTGGGAAATCGTCCTCGGTGCGCGCGTTTTTGGAGTATTACTCGGCCGCCGGCTCCTTGATTGACCCCCTTCAAGTTGTTTCTTTTGGCGCATTTCCCTGAACATTTGCAGCGTTGGACACGTACCATCAAACTTGAGTATGTTGACGATGACATGCCTGGACACCCTGCCCGCCCACCATAAGCCTTCAGGGCTTCGAAAGCCAAAGCCTTTCAACAAGCCAGGAAGTGGAGGCTTGCCGGCGCAGGATCCAAGAGGCCCCGGCCTTATCCACTTGCCGGCGCAGGGTCCAAGAGGCTGTCCGAAACCGCGGCCCATCAACATCTGGTTGGGTGCATTGACACAGGTGAATGGGATTTTGCTTGCAAGGTTGTGGCCGAATTTTTAGGCTGATGGTTTCAGGTCTGCGGGGTGAGTTTGACCAACCCGAAGCCCAACAGTGGAGTTCGAGCGGTGCTGCAGTACCACGTTCAACATGCCATGAGCTTGTCCCCTGGTTTGCTGCCACGGAGAATCCCGAAACCATAAGAAATCGCTGCGACGCGCACGGAGCTTGGGGCCATATTCTAAATACTCTTCTTGCTGTTCGCAACCAGCGACCCTCACGAGAAGGTGGAGGCTGCGATTTCTGAGTGCAAAGACCACTCAGTCAAGGTGGGCTCTCTGCTGCCACGCTTCCTGCCACGACGGTCTGAAGGATGTTTGAAGGTGTGGTTCGGAACTGAAGGTGTTCAGTGTTTTGTGGATTCCGAAAGGCTGACACCTTGCCGACAGGATGGCCAACCCTGAGCCCCACAAGCCAGGAGTCTTTGAGGCCTTCTGAAGAATCGTCGCATGTGCGAGGCTTTTCGTGAGAAGGAGGGCTGGGTCCGCAAAGTGGAGGAGCTGAAGGCCTGCGTGAAAAGAGCTCCTGAACTGACCCTTTGAGCCTTATTAGCTGCCTGAAAATGTTTGGAGAGCTGGGGTTCTTGTCTGTGGTATTTCGTTTTCACGTTGAAGTTTCCCTCCTAGCCACGAAGCCCTGAAGCCCTGAAGCCCGAATACCAAAAACGCGGGACAGCCCCGCAATCCTAAACTCCGGAACTTTGATCCGAGCTTGAAATTTAAAGGCTCAAGCAGCTTGTCCATGGCTGTTGGCTTGGGAGGGTTCAAGGCATCTTTGAGCTTCAGTCGCGCGAGATGCTTGGTGCTTCATAGGGATTCTACTATCCCCATATTATAATCATAATCCCTATGAAGGACTCTGGAACATCCCAACGCTTCGCGGTGCCTTGGCAGGCTGAAGAGGCCCAGCTGTCCGTTGTGGCCAGCGGCCTCCGCCGCACGGTGCACGCTGGAACAGTGGCCATAGAGGCGTTGATGGAAATGGGAGTTTTACGACAATAGGGGACCCCCGATTCCCTCATCATAAGGACCCCAATAAGGTCCCAAATGGGAGTGTTTGACGTCAGGGCCTCGCAGGGTATGCACAAGATTGCCGAATCGGACGCCTTTGATGCTCCTGGGGTTGGAGGGCTTGGCCTGCTTGGGCACCAGCTCAGAAGTCGATTCCCGCCATGGTTTAGAGTTTAGGGCCCGGGTTTATGATTCAGGACTTGGATTGGATTTCCTTTGCGATATCTTCGCATTCCCAAAGCCTCGCAACCATACTGGTAAACTGTTCAACCTTCTTCAACTGCTTCCTGCAGCAGTCGTAGCGCCATAATTTCCTGTGCTCTGCCAAGAATGCACCCAGCCATTCGAGTTTCTTGTTGCCAGGATGTGCAGAGTGGGGGGCCCAGTGGACTCTGCTCATCGCATGTGGAGCAGCCGTCTGGGGTGCCTCGATCGCCCCCAGGCGAACTGCAGGTCGCCTTCCAGCGCAGGGAGGCCACGCTTCGGTCTTCTTGGGGGGGTGCTGCGTGGAGGCTGTTCAGGCTTCCTTTGTGCCATTTGGGGGGGGTTTCCGAAATTAGGGCTACTATTTGGGGGCCTATTGTTGGGGTCCCTTGTTTTCGTAACTTCCCATTTGTTGGGGCCTTTTCCGAGGTGGCATTGAGGGCTTTTAGGGCATGGTTGTCAAGGACTTTGCGGAAAGTCTCGGATCGGTCCCAGGGCGGCTGGAAGCCGTCGGCCATGATGCCCACATAAGGGGGTAGACTTAGACGCCTGGAAGCGATCACTCACTGCATACCTTCTTCCTTGGCAGCACCAGAAGAGTTTCTGCCAGGCATGCTTTAGATGCTAGCTCAAGGCGAGATCTTGTGCTGTGAGGCATTCGTGGAGGAAACGACAGCGAGTCGCAAGGTGGGCGCAGTTCTACAGATTCTACCGTGAGGATTTGCAAGGCAATGGCAGCAAATGCGCGGAGTATGAGTGTTGCCTTGTCTTCCTGGGACCCAGCAGTGCGCCGGTATGATTGCCTTAACAACCCTGAATGGAAGATCAATGATGGGAGGTGTGTTCAGTTTTGGGGGGGGGTGGCCGATCATCCAGCTAGCAGGTTTCGCCTCTAACACGCCCAGGAATCTAAGGACGAAGCCTGCCCGCACGTGCTCCAAACTCTGGGCCCCAAATCGAGGCCTGTGCGGCCTTTGCTTTAAAGCTGCAGCAGCTACGACCCGAAATGGCCGAGGCGTGTCCGATGCCTTGTTAGGATTTCGGGCCTTGCATCATGAGGGCAGAGGATTGAGGATTTCAACTTTGAGGGCGTTTAGATGGGTAGAAAGCAGAAGGTCAGAGCTCTGGAAGCTGTAGTGCCCGTGACGGACTGTGACGGATCATGACTGGTCTTTTGTCGGACAGACAGGAGCTTCGAGGGTGGTGGCTAAGATGCGACAACTTGTATCCCGGCTTTATCCCAAAACTTTCATAAGGAACGGAGGTTGGGCTGTTGCTTGTTGCCATGATGTGAAGGGCCGGGCCAAGAATGTAAGGCAGCTGAACTCAATGACCGTTTCAAAATTTTGCTTGTTTTCTGTGCTTGATAAGGTTTGATTTTGAGAGCACCGTACGGATGTTGTAGACGACGAGCGTCGGCAGCAACCTCCAATCAGGTCGTTAAGCAGTTAAGATCCCGGTGGCGCAAGAGAAATCCCACTTCGACAGCGCAAGCTGCTGGCAGTGGGCCAGTTGTTAGTTTTGGCATAGAGGGTGGAAAGTGGGTGGGAAGCAGATGGTTGGAGATGTTTGTGTGAGTTATAAAGAGGCGGCGCTGCGTCACACCTGATGCTGGTGCAGGATTGGGCAGTCGTATGCAGTCCCCAAGGATGTGCCAACCAGCTGTGTACCTGGCATGAATCAATGGGCCACCTCATTGGCTGGACCGCGGCATTGCTATTTTCGTGGACAAGAATGGAATTGCAGCAGATGCAAAGCCCCAGAGGCCTCATGCGCACCCAGACAATGAGAAGTGGCGTACTTCATGGTTGACTGAAGCGGTGTCGAAGTCGGGTTAAGCTTTATGCGACAAACTACCAGGTAGACCCGAGTGTCCGATCCTTTTCACATGACCGGAATCTCTTCGGGAGTTTCAAGCTGGAGCGCCGTTCCCCTTTGCGGGTCCGGCTGCTGCGACGTCCCATGCCATGCCTTGATGGTCGTGGTGACAGGGAGGGCCATCCGTAGGGTGAGATGTCGTTATGACAACAAAAGTGGTGTCAACTTTCAGCTGGAGAGAGGCAAAGTGCCTGAACCCAGGGACCGTGCAAAATTAAACTTATCTTGAGGGTGAAGAAGTCCGAGAGCGTCGATGGCAGGCTCCAGCAACCTCCCAGCATGAACGGACCAAGTCTGAAAAGGGCAAATCTGAAAAAGATGAAAGGCAAACGACATGTCGCAGTGGCATTGAGCATCGCTTGGGAGCTAGGAGATCGCACAAACCTCCGTTTTGTTAATCCGCAAGGCGGATGAGCGCTGTACCAGACTGGAAACCAGTGTGGCCCTCGGAAAGTTCGGTCTATATCGGACATGTCGATGTTTTGCCATTTGGGCCTTGGTTTTGAGCACAACATGTTAGGCGGTGTGGATTTTGACTTCAACTTTGTTCATCTTCCAGTTTTCCGTGAGGTTCACGCTTTTTGTGGATTAACCAATCGAGCTTTGATGTTCCCATCCAAATTGTCAAGCAGTCAAAGGGGACGGGCGAACCTGAATGCGACTGTTACGTACAAGGCAAGTGGGTATGCAGGTAGGTGCACAAGCAGACTAACGTGAATGAGCGCAGACATTGAGAGATATAGATCAGAATGAAGAATGCCCAATTTGCTTGGAAAGTCATATTGAATCCTCATCACGCTGTGAAAATTGGGCCGCTAAGGGTGGTAAATCACAAGCAGCATTTGCAAAAACTCCCACACACACATGTTCATGTTAATATTCTCATTCTCTACATGTGTTGTCGGTTTCATATCCAGCATGTCGCTTGTTTTGAAATTTTGTAAATTTAAAGCGCTCCCTTTGCATTGACCCAGTCTCTCAGGTCGAGGGTTTACGGGGGTTGAGAGGGTTTAGGGTTTCGGGTTTGCCCTTGTGACTTCCTTTTTGTCGAGTATCGCGAGGTCTCCAAGGCTTTCAAAAGGCCCCCGTGGCCCCAAGTGAGCTTTGAGCCTGAAACCGCTCAAGCCGCTCAAGCCGCTCAAGCCAGCGCCCGAGGCTTGGTGCAAAAGTCCAAGGACTCCAAGGGCTCCCAAAACTCCAAAGGGTTTCGGAAGTGGGCTGGCTTTCTTCTCTCCGAGGAGATCAGGAGTTGCATCAAAGGCAAAGCCAATTGAAGGAAAGCGAAAGCATCCGAAAGTGCTTCCGGGCAGGACCTGGAGGACGAGCTGCTCAAAAAGCGCTCGCTGCAGCAGGATTCGTCGGCCGAGCGGATTGGTGTTTTGGAAACCCTAAACCCTAAATCCTAAACCCTAAACCCCAAACGTTGCCTTGCACCTCTTTCCCGCGCCCTGAACTGCATCTGCTCGGCCAGGACCTGGAGTTGGTGACAGAGGTTCTGCGGGAGCAGCGGCTGACAAGGACATCGCCCGAGCAGGCACTCTGAACAGCCAAATCTTAAGCTGGGGTGGGTTTCTGGAACTTGACAGTTACACTAAGCTGCCAATACCCCCACGCAGCAAGTCAAACCCTGAACCGTAGACTTCCCTATAATCCCCTAATGAACTTCCATCTCAAACCTGTTTATTGACCTCCTCCACTCCGCCATCTTTGGCGGCTGCAGGCCTCACCGAGCCCCGGCTTTGCGAGTCCTGCCAGCGTGGGCCGCGTGAGTCCGAGCTCTGCGCCTCCCCGACGGCTGCGATGATCAAAGGCCGCATGGTTGCAGTTGAGTGAGTAGAGGGCCTTCGGGCTTGAGGGTCGGTCATGGCAAGTCTTTGGCCGTGGTTTTGGAATTTCAGGCTTGGGCCCCCCCCCCCCCCCCACCCTCCCCCTTCACCCTTCCAGGACCCAACCCCCCTCTCCCTTCAAACCCCTGAGTGAAATGCTATGAAAACGAAAAGAAATCCCATGAAAGTTAATAGTACTAAAATTGGAAAAAAATCCTATCAAAATCAATGTATTAACTATTTTGTCAAAATCAATAGAAGACTTGTTAAAACGGATAGGGGGGGGGGAGGGGGATTCAATTGATCAAAGGGGGGAAAGGGCTTCAATTGAGGGGGACGGGAAGGGGGAGGGGGCTTTAACTTCAAACGGCTCCTTTTGACGCACTCCCGTCGTCCTTCGGACCCAGGCCGTGCAGCGTTTGCAGGCGTACTTGCCCTCACATAACGCTGAGGACTCATCCTCTTCACGTGCCCATCCCGAAAAAAGACGAGATCAAAGTCTTTGTTCAGAGTGTGTTTAAGCAAATGAACACGCTGGCTTTGCCTCTTTAAAGAGTGTTTGGAGTGCTTGCATGCTGACGCTTCCTGCCGCCCGCTGCTGATGTTGGTCGTGTTACTGGTGTTGAAGGCAACGAATCTGCAAACTGTAGATCGATAAGCGGGTCACTGTAGGCGAAGGCACCCAAAACTTTGGACAGGTTTGCTGATGATACTATTAGTGTCTTGTTGAAGGTCGCCTAGGATTTGGAAAGCATACGTGTTTCAGCCATGTCAGCATTTTCCTGTGGCAGGCTGCGCTCGACGGCCCTGTGCGTGTGAAGAAATTGAGGTGCCAAAAAGGTGTCTGCTTTCAATGAAGCTCACGTAAGGGCTTCAGTTTGCAGATTGTGCTGGAAGTCCACATCAGCTTTGGTAAAGCAGATCGGTTGAAGTCTCGGAGCACTGCCCGTAGCCCCTGAGCCCCAAAAGCAAAGGGATGGCTGAAAATGTCAATCGTAGTTTAAGGTTGCAGTTGGAAACCTTTTTTTGAGTTCTGCAAGGTATATCTTCCCTGGCCAAGAGCTCGTACTTTGCTGTATCTGCTCGATTGGTCCCATCCAGCTATCGCGGCGCGTCTGCATGTTTTGATGCCGCGGCCATTTGGCATTGCAACAGTGATGGGAGTTTCTGGGCTGACTGCCTGCGTAGTGCGTGCGCCTCAGGTGAACCTGATGTCAGAATCAGCCACAAGTCATTTCGCCGATCAATAATAATGTGCAGAAAGCGACATACACACACACACACTCACATTTGCATTGCTGTGGAAGTGAGGTTCGTTCACGTGCAGATCAGAGTTCCCGAAGCAAGGATCCAGGACTTTCCTTGCTGTGCAGTAGTGTGTTATGTGATTTTTGTGCATCGATTGAAAGTTGCACCGCAGGCTGTTGCCCTGGCTCAGCTTCCTGTTCTCCTGGTGTCTGAGCTCTTGTCTAGAGGCTAAACCCAACTCTGCAGCTGCTGTTGCCAATGCAGGATACGCTGATGTTTGGGAATTTATTTCATAAGCGAGATGCTCAGTCGGCATGCCGAATGGGGTCAGAAGCATCAGCCAGAAAATTTGCAACATCACGCGGTCCTCAAGTTCGTACTTCGTTGGTACCATAGCATGCACGCCAGGCACTCGCATCGATGTAAGAACAGACGCCGAATACCCCTCAATATGTAGCCGCTGCTAAACCGACATCGATATGATATGCTGAGCTGAGAGCTCGTCGTCTCTTGACAGGTGCTGTAGGGAAATCTGCGTTTTTTGTGCACTGCCCACTTGTGCGTGTTGAGCCGTTGCACTTTCCCGCCTGAAAGTGTCTTGGCAGTTTACGGAAGGCATATTTCGGTACAGCACCGCTGCCTGCTGTTCTGCTGCATTCTCGGCTATGTTTCTTTGTGCAATCCTACAAGTCCGCCTGTTTAGGGGGGGTCAGTACGCTTTGACGCTTTGATAGTCGCTGCATTGAGGTGAACTTAGCCGGCGATAGCGATGAGACAGGCAGGCTTTTCGGCAGTGGGATGCACCACTCTGTCGGACTAGCGACTTCGCGTCGGGAAGGTTTGGCTGCGGTCTCAAAACCCTGAACAGCTACTCTGGTCGTGCAGTCGTGATGTTCGTCCAAGTTGCGATTGCAGTGTTCCCTGCGTATTTTCCTTCCATCCCGTGCGCAAGCCTACAGCCTATCTTGCGCAAGCCTACAGCCTATCTTGCCCTTCCAAGACCTCGATGCCAACTACTTGATGGCCCCGTCAGTTCAGGGTTCAAGGGCTTCGGGAGTTGGTACTGGTGGTGGTCGCACCTAGTTCGATTGGTTTCGCGATTACGCCTGGACCCCCCAGTCACCACGCTCTCGTTCTATTCGCAGTTTGGCGGGTGTGGAGATACCAGTGTTTTTCACTTCAAGCAGACAGAAAGACCGAACTAGCGGGCAGTGCCAGGCAATGCTGCTGTTTTTGGGGGTAGAGGGATGTTTTGTGATTTGGAATAGAAATCTGGAAAACTTTCTTTATCCCGTCAGCTCCAAGGTAAGACCCCTAAGCCTTGGGCCCTCCAAACCAAACCTCCTGAACAGGCAGCTTCTGCAACTGCATTTCTCTGTCTCCTTGTGGGTGCGCACCTCAGACAGGTGTTCTGGTTATTAGAGGGAGAGCCGGTGCCAACGCCCAGGACTTCTTCTTGGTGGTTTCAAAACTTACACCAGTGCGCACTCCTGTTTTTCGGCATCCTGGTGACGTATTTTATCAGCTGAGTTCGATAGCCTTCTTGCGAGAGCGACCTCACAGCCCACAACTTTTGGCATGTGTTTTACCAGTGCCTAGGGCGTTGAGTTCAGGCTTTTCTTTACAAATCGTCTTGCACGCTGACGCTCATCGCGGGCCGCTGTGCTGATGGTGAGCCTTGACAAGGCAGCAAGTACTCGACGAAACTCCCACACCACCTGGACGTTTGTTTGGGCTTTGCGCGGCTTGTTTTCTCAGGTCTTGCCGCTCAAAGCACCAAGACCCGCATGAAGCCATGAAACTTACCTTGACAACAAGACTTGACCTCGTGCGATTCGCAGGAATGACTGCAACCCCTTTCCAGGTCTCCTGGCAAGCCTATCCTTTCTACCTATTGCATGCCCTGCCGCGTTCCTGCAAGCCCTTTGCAAGGACCCTGAAGCCTTAAGCCCCAAGTCCTTGCGCCAACGCCCAACCCATCTCAAACGCAACAACCCTCGGACACTGCAGCTTCCGCGTCGAGGCTCTCATGCAGTACACCGGGAGCCGGAGCCCGGGGAGCTCCTAGCCTTCGAGGTGGAGAGTGGAGGCGACCGGGTATGGGGACGGGCCGTGCTCTCCCGGACTTCGCTCAGTCGTTGTGTGCAACAGAGTGCAATCGTGCGTTGAGTGCCTTGGTTCGTGATCATTCAGACGCAGTTGCTATCAGTCGCATGTCGTGCAGTGCATTGGGTGACGGCGGTTGCCCTTGCCAGGCAACCTGCCCGCAGCTCGGTCTTCATGGTGCTGCAGATGCAACGAGAACACCAGTCTCTGCAAAGGATCCTGTGCAGTGCAAGAAGGTTCAGGGTCAAGTCAATTTCAAGATGCGGAAACATCTGCTTCACAAAAGCTCCAGAGCTCCAAGCCAAGCCGGCCAAGTCCGTCTAGGCCTTTGGACTCGAATCAACTCGAACCTGCAAAAAAGAATCCCCAGCCCTCTGAGGGTGCGTCGTGAAGGTGTCTCGGGCCCTCGAGGTGCCTGCTTGGTTACAAGACTTCGTTCTCTTCTTTCAGGGTTTTTGTTTGTGTTCAGGGCATTTTGGAGGTTCGGGGTTGTAGGGATTCTCAGGGATGTTTTGCGTTCTGTCCGTGTCATGTGAGGTGGCAGGAAGCAACCAGGGCTTGCAGAGCTGGGAGGGTACTGCTGCACTGCGGGACGTGGTTTGACATCGGAGACGTGTGTAAGGCAACGCCAAAAGCATTCCAGATCACCGTTTCGAAGCCACAAAGAAAGTTGCAACTAAGTATCTTTGATGTAAAGCTGCAAAACTCAACAGTTACAAGTAGGCAAAACATCAAGTTAAAAAACTGAGCGTTCCGTTCTAAAGCATCTGCCCCTGTTCCATTGCAGGCGACAGTTCTGAGTCTTTGGCCGAGGACCGGCCCTTGGGAGTGTTCCGGCATGTGGTTTAGGGTTTAGGGGTTAGGGTTTAGGGTTTAGGAGTTCTGAACCCACTTCGCAGCGATACAATTGCAGTGTCGGGTTGCCAAGCTTCTGTCGATCTGCAAAGCGCTGATCGTTCATGAATGTCATTCACCTGCTTCTACGGCGCTAAGAGCGTTTAGGGCTAAACATGTTTGGTGCTTAGAGTGCCTGCCCGAGTGCAATCTTGTGACTTGTGACCGTGAGGAGGGCGAAGCGACTGCTGGGACAACAACGGAATCTGCTGGGTGCACAGCCTTGGCAGAAAAAGAGCCATTGCCAACATGAGCATGACGCGGGTATGTCGGGCCCAGTTTCTTCGGATTGAGCAGAAGGTTAAAATCATCCTCTTCCGAACACCATCTTTCTTCTTTTTTTTGTTTAAGCCTTTATTGCCGGCTGCTGCTTGTGTTACTTGTGTGCCATGCGCTTGCTTGTCAGTGTCTCCACTGTCGCCACTTACGTGCCTGTTCTTATGCTTTCCCTGCCTGCCCACTCTTGGCATCAAGCCTAACATTCCTGAACAGGGATGTAGTATAAGAAGCCATGCTAAAGCTTAGGTAGTGCTTGTTTGGCGCTTGGGGCAGGGTCTCGGGCGCGGAGGTCGTGCACATGGAGGGCGCGGGCATGGCATTTAAGTAGAAGCATTAAGAACTAAGTATAGCCCTCATCTTTAAACTCCTCAAAGTGGTTATCTATCGTTTCAATTCCTCACCCCCCGAATCCAGGTCACTGCGGAGCAGAAGTCTCTTGCAGATGCCGTGGAGGCTGGACAATCGGACAAGCGTTCGTTTCTGTTCAAGGCTTGAGGGATTCCACCTGGCCCACATACAGACCAAACAAAAAAACAAAAACCCAAACCCAAAAAACAACATCCCGACCCCGGAACCCCACTTCAACATTCTGCTTCCAGGCCGTGGAGGAGCTTTTTGACGAGGGTGGATCCACTACCACAACGGGTTCCGACAGCATCGAGGACAAATTGAGAGCTCATCCGGGGCCCAAGGCAGTCTTGAGGTCTCTATCCTGGGCCTTGCAGAGGCTTCGCGCGCTGTCGATTTTCTGCAGTATGCAGTTTTGTTGCATCGAAATCATTGGTTCTCGGGCCTATGTCGAAGTTTGGGTTCAGTCCTCTGCGGTTTACCCGAAGCCCATGTCAAGAGCAACGTGGCTGTCTCCCGTCTGTTGGCCTCAAGAACCAACCAGAGGTGCGACTGCACAGTTTGCAGCGCGTATGTTCACAATCCCAAGGTGCTCAATCCTCAGAGACAGCACAGCGCCATGGTTTCGATCTTTGCTTGCAGGATCTGGAGAAAACCGAAGCAGAATCAGCCCGTGCCCAAGATGTTGTGTGATCTTGGGCCGCGAGCTTGTGCTGTCAGAGCTTGAACTCACCCTGAGTCCGCAAGGTAGGTACAACCTGTGCTTCGAAGCACTTGGAAGGCTTGGACAATCGCTACCGGAGTACCAATCAGTCTGCTACTGCTACCACTATGACGACGCATGAAATGAATTCATTTTCGTTTGGTGAGCTTGCAAACGGTCAACTAGCGTGACTGATTACTATCGCAAACGTAGCAAGAATAACATAAGCGCGACAATAGCAGGCAAGCCCTAGCAGCATTTTGGTTGCCGCAGTCCTCCGAGACCTTGCTAAGGAACTGAGCAACAGCGATCGTGACCAGATTGCCACCAAGGTGCACGATCAGATGCAGGACAAGGCCGCGCCAAGTAGTTTCTGAGGAAAGACCTAAATCTGTCCGAAGCTCTTGCAACTCTGAGGGTAAGAGGTGAGCGTTGCGCATGAAATTTGAGGATTTTGTGTGCCCAGACCCCTGAGCCATGATCCCTCAATCCCCTCAGTACCATGAACCTAGACCCTGGCGTAAGGTCCCTTCAGGCATCGTTTCAGGATTCCATTCTCGTCATTGTGGGTTCCGCGATGTTGATTGACGGTCTAGGCTCTGGGCTCAGTTTGTCCACTTTGAGGTTTATGGAGTGCATGCTGGGGCTTGCATACTGGGACTTGCATTTTCAACCCTCATGAACACCAGAAGCGAAGTTGGTTCTTTCCCTGCGAAGGTGAGGGGTGAACGTGCGGGACCCAATTCACCCGCGACGCGCCGCGCTTGCGTGAAGCTGGAGTAGCATGAGCCGGCAAGTAGCGGAACCCGGCGCCGCATGTTCAAGCATCAGGATGAGAGGTTGTTTTCGGCAAGGGGATAGGGAGTATGTTAGGGAGTATGGGGGTTGTAGGGCGCTGAATGACATGGATTCAGCTGCGGCTCACAGTTCCTGACCTGAGTTTGGCCCTAAGGGCATCTGGTACTGACCAAAAGGAAGCAAACGACAATTTCCCGAGCACGAAGCACAAAAATCACCCCTTCACTGTCCCACCAAGAGCTGGTTGGGTTTTAGGGCGTGTGTGTTCGCGTCCCGGATCGGGTCCAATAGCAATCTTTTGCGTTGGGGCATCCTAAACCTGCAGTGAGGCGGCTGGCTCCGTTGGGACCAGGTGCGAGCCCTCAGGAGTTGTTACAGTTGGCCACTTCATGTGTATCCAAGTGACTGATTCAGAGTCGAAAGTAGGCTTCACATGATGCAGGCGAAGCCGACACGAGCCCACAAGATCAAAACGGTGACAAGCTCTGCAGGTGGCTGGTGCTAACAGCACCAATGCCACATCTCCAATGGACCTCCTTTGGTCGCATGAGCACAAGGCCTTCTCCTAGTCAGAGCAGTGAAGCGAGGCTTTGTGAGGATCAGTGCGTTGATACCTTAAGAATTTGCTATCATTTTCAAGATTGCCAGTTCATCCAAAGAAATGGTGCATGTCGGGGGATTTCATGTCAGCCCTTGGGATTTTGGTTCAGGACCTTTATGCAACCGTGAAAACGTGAACATGAGTTTTTGAATCATGCGCGCTTTGGCCTAAAACACCGACTGCCAGGAGTGCCTGGAGACTGAAAACATTTGGACACCGCTGTCCATGCCAGAGCAGAGCAGGCCACAAGCTGGGAAACCAAACGGATTGCAGAACCCTCGAACTCATCCCAGTCATGTCATCGCATCCCTGAAGATTTTTTGCCATGGCTTTTGCATTTGTCTGTTAAAAGCGTGGCTTGATATGTTCCTGGTGGCACTTTGCAGATTTTGCGTCTCCGTGCATGGGTGTCATGGCATGCCGAACCGTTAACGAGGACGGACGAGCCGGACCACATCAGCTGCAGGGTGGGGACCCCAGGTCTACTTGCTTCGGATTGGGGGGAGGGGTTGAGTCTGGGGGTTTTGGCCAAGTGCAAGCAGTCATGTGCCAAAGCCTCGCAGTCACCCTGAATGGTTGGGTGAGAGCTGTGAAGGCATGCACGCTCATGTGTCATTGGGCCAATCCTACTGTTTGGGAGGGGGGTTCCAGGATATTGGGTCGACGACGGTGAGGGCTTGCAGGTAGGTGTCGGATGATTTCCTGGAAAGCCGTTGTAGCGAGACGGGCCTACATCGCCGGGGACGGTGTCTCCGCCTTTGCGTGCGTCTTCGGAAACACTTTGGCCAATTGGACGGAATGATCCCGGTTTGTGTCAACGGTGGGTTTTCGAGCAGTCAGCAATGTCCTGTCACGCGCAGCCGGGTTGTGCAACTCCCTAGTCTTCGCTGAGCAGCGCACCATAATTGGCCGAAGGCATTCAACACAACGTCTGTTACCCAAACCGAACTAGGACCCGCCAGCACCTAAAACTGCCTAAAACCGTTGAACGCCCTCTCAACATGCGAACTTTAAGCTTGACGCTTCGTGAGGCGCGCTGCCTTGCGGTGCGGGGCTGCGCGCATTGGTCCTACTATCTTGGCGGTGGCAGCTGCTATTTGCAGGTGCTTCGGGAAGGATTTTAGGGGCAACTTGGCATGGTATCTATAAAGCTATACAGCAGCAGAGTCGAGGCTCAGAGTTCTGAGAATGAGTCGGCAATTTTTCATGTCTTTGCAAAAGGGCTTCGGGGCACCACGCAACCTTTGGCAAAGACACAGCTAGGGCTTGAATTTTCTTGGGACCAAAAGCCTTATGCGTGGAACTGGGGGGCGAGATAGAATCGCTCACGCCGACTGGCATACAAACATGTGCGCCTAGAGCGCGGTTCGTTTCTCCCCTGCACCTGATAAGTGGGTATTGCAAGTCGGGAAGTTGAATTACGCAGCAACGCGAACGCACGACTCACGTGACCGGTCACAGCGACTCCAATGGTGGATTTCACCGACCTGAAAGCCGCAATTTCTAGCTTTTCCAGCGCCAAAGGGTGCAAAACAGATCCGGAAACGTTTGCGGCAGCGGGTCTGCCTCGAACAGCGCACACCAAAAAATTGACATTTGAAGGGGCCGAAACTCCCATCTTGCTGCAGCCTAATCGGAGTTCAGCGCAGCTCAGGGGCGGCAACTTAAGTGCCGGGCATCCTGAAGAGGTTTGGGCCATTGGGGAAATGGTTTCACAGTTTCACGTTTATCCACCTCCCGACGGAACCTCGAAAGGACGGACTTTCGATCCTTTTGTGCTTGGATTGGTAACAGATTGTACGTGCGTGAACACGTGAGCATCAGTTTTTGTGGCTGTGAACATGGCGCACGGGCGATCTCGCGACATTTTTGCAACACGCACAGACATCCTGTGGCAAACATCAGGCCGTGGCACGCGCTAAAGCATCTCAAATCCGAGGCTTACATGACATATCCCATGCATCCGATATGTTGAGTGAGTTGCTAGCACACCAACACAGTGTTGAAGCAGAGCTCAGGGACACGATTCTGTGGAGGGGGTACATAAACACCGGCGCACTGCAAAGAACCCGGCATCCTAGAATGCAAGGTTTGTTCCTCTTTCGTATTTGGGGTCTTCAAGGATGGAGAGCATGGACAGGCACTTCAGGGCTTCAGCTGTTGCTTGCAGTGGGAACCCACGTTTGGCCTACCGTTTGCTAGGGATGAGAGCCTAAAACCTGAACCCAGCTAGTCAGAAATTCTAGCTCGTTGCAGAACTCTTCAGCAGAGAAGACGGCCGGCAAGGCTGCGTTGGGCCGCTTCCGTTTTGTTGTTTCCAGCACAGGGCTTGAACAGTGTTTTGCAGGTCAGGTGGTGTGGTTGTGGGGCTGAGTGCTTGTATCTGTGTCAGGAGCAGCGAGAGTGTATCTCATTGAGTCCAGGCGAATCAGTTGGATCATGTCAAATCATCCGACATGCAGTCTCGTCAAGATTGCTTAGACGCTCCCGCACCGGCACTGTCCGCGTCTCAGGGCGCCGTCTCCGGGATTCCGGGATGCCGAGACAAGGATCCGAGCATCCACCTGGGCATGAATGCCCCACGGTGGAAAATTGGGCATTTTTTTGGATGGTTTGTTTTCGGGGCAGGTGTTTGCAGCCGGCCACGCCGCAGATCGGTCACATAGCAGTTGCCCGTACCCAGACCCCCACCCGACCACCCTCAGCCGACCTTGCTGCTGATGCTGCTGCTGATGCTGCTCCGCGATGCGGGCATGCGCCCGTGCCTGAACCGTGAAGCACCACAAGCGCACGAGACTCTGCCATATTTTTTCTGTACTTCGAGGCGCTCCGCGCCAGGTGGGGCACCCCAAGAGAATCTTGCAGAGAATCCCGCAGGGAAGCCACACCCGCACAGAAACTCGCGGAGTATCCTGGAGTGCCCACCCCCGAAAGTCCTGCGGAAAAGGCAGCAGAGTACACTCGTAGCTTTTGCTAGCCTTAGCATCCAGCAACTCTTCCGGGGGTCTGGAGGGGGTCCGCAACAAAGACATGCCGAAGGTCCAAGCGGGCCGAGGAGAGGGCTTTTTCCAGTGAACCCACTGAAACCTGGAGCCCTGGCGTTTGCCATTTACAAGAATGGCGAGTGCTCAAGTCCCCAAGAGCAGAAACCCGAATCGCCGAAACCTAAAGCCTGGAAGCCTTCATCCCAAACTTCCGCAACCCTCAGAGCTGGTGTAAAGGACGTGTTCCGCTGCATGGTTCAAATGGAAGCACAATGTGACAATGTGCACTGGACCAAGAATGTGTGCTGGACTGTCACCCCAATCTGCACTGACTTACCCGAATGTCCACCGAATATCACCGAATTACCCCCACGCACCCTGAGTGAGTGCAAGAACAGCCCTTTTGAATCCGTGGATGGGGCAATCGAAGTTCGGGAATCCCTTCCCCCTAATATTAAAGCCCCCCCCCCCCCCCCACCCGCAGTATAAAAACCCCCAAAACCCCTAAAGGGTGTTTAGTATTAGCGGGGGTTCTGATCGTTTGTCTGAACAAAACAACCAGTCCTTCTAGCTTGCTCAGGTTTCAAGCTTAGAGATATTAAAAGGGGCGACTGCCGGACCGGGTTTTGGGGCCAGAGGGTTTTTTATACACCCGGCCCAAAAAGCCCCAAGAAACCCCAAGAAGAGCCTCATCCTTCATGGACGACTTAGTCAAGTGTGTCGAAGACCAACCCTGAGCCTTGAAACCCTTCTTTCGCTACGGAATCCTAGGCTGGCGGTCAGGCCGGGATGACCTGGCGAGTGAATTTGGGTGTTTTTGGTCTCTTTGTCAGTCAGGTTCGGGGAGTGCAGTCGACCGTGCAAGTATGTCTCTTGGTCAAATTCACTGCCTTGCCAGTGGGTTTTCAGGATCGGGTCCTAAGCTGGGAAGCCTGCTGAGACAGTCGAGGGGGGCCGCTTCCTGATCCCTTTACGCTCCCCCCGAGATCAAAGCCCCCTGGCCGACTCTCTGGCCCTGCGAAGTCCTGCTATCACCTCAGCGGCTCCTTCATCCCCTTGGACATGCCAGAGCAGAAGAGGATGGGCTTGGCTCGGGCTTGAGGGTCTATATCTTGGCAGCGCATGTTTGTTTTTGAACGTTTTTTTCCAACCACTGGCCCAATTCATGGGTTCATGGATAAGCGCGCTGGCGGAAGACTCAGTGTGGATGAAAATTGTGTGTAAGCAGAATGGCCCGCCGAGAAGCTGTGAGCAGAGATCCCTTCGCTGGCCGGCCCTTGTAAACATGTTGCTTTTTGCACGGTTCTCATGAGTTTGCACATTAATTAGTCTTCATTCTGAGCACATCATGAGGAAAGACGCCTTAATAGTTTGCAGTCGTGCTGAAAGTTCGTGATGCGAGGTGGAGTCTTGCGATATCCCGAGTGCGGTAACTGAAGCCCAAGAGCCGCCTTGTTGTCGTATAGCTACAAACCTGACAGAGCTGATCTGAAGGCGTAGGGTTGAGCTTTGGGCTTAGGGAGGCTGCTTGTACTCTTCCACGACCCGAGAAAGAAGCCTTCAAGCCTAAACGGTCCTAACCCACCGGCCCTTAACCAGATAACCCCAAACCCAAACCCTGAAAAGCTTTCTCTGAATCAGCCTTATGCTGACCAAACACCAAAGACCGCGAGGACAAAAGAAGCGAGCTATGACCTTTGCCAGGCCAACCAGTGGGTTTGTAGTTCTTAAAGAGAGAGAGAGAGAGAGAGAGAGAGAGAGAGACAGAGAGAGAGACAGAGAGAGAGACAGAGAGAGAGACTTCACCCAGACTGACTCACCTCCGGGCGCGCCTGGTGCGCGGGGGTTCTCCCCCATGCCCTGCAGAAGAAGAAGAAGAGACAGAGAGAGAGAGACAGAGAGAGAGACAGTGGGGGAGAGAGAGGGCGAGAGAGAGAGAGACAGAGAGAGAGAGGGAGAGAGCGGGGGAGAGCGGGAGAGAGGGGGAGACAGAAAAACTTTGAGGATAAGACCAGGACGTCCATCAATTGCTGCTCGCCTTTGCTGTTGCATGTAGTAAGCTGCTTACCTCACGTTATTAAAGGCGTGCTTGGCACTGTATGTTTGCTTTGGGGCTGTCTGCTGGTTGTGTCCCGACGGTTCATTGAGGCAATCCGCAATCCGCAAGTCCCAATACGAAAGCCAACCCCTCCAGGCAAGGTGCTTGGAGACCCATGGCTGCGCAAAGTTCACGCGTGGGCACCGAGTCGTTCTTAAGATGGGTTGAATGCTTAAACTCGAGCGTTTGTGCCACTTTGTGGAACAATTGAGTGCCCCACGTCCGCGGCCGAGTTCCATTTGAAAGCCGATAGCACCCTGAAGTCCTGATCCTTGAGCTCGTTGTTGCCACGTTTAGCGGCTCCCAGGTATTTCATCCTCGACCAGGGCTGCCATCTACAGGACACCTCTTCGTCTGCAGTTGGCACTTCCAAAACCACGGGTCAGAATGGTTCATGGTTGGAACTTTCCCAGGCTTTTGGGTTCATAGTATGTGCTTTAGAGTTGTTGGAGCTTGCTCAAAACTCACCGGGTGCAGGGGGAACTGTTGCGGAAGACCCTGCTCAGGAGAACTCTTCCCACATGGTCCGGGAGCTCGGATCTATGCAGGGCATGCCCAAAACATCACAGCAAGAAAAGGCATCAGCAAAGGAAAAGTCTTAGATGAGTCGCGGCTCAATATGTTTGTTGTGCGAACGGAAGCTAAGCGTATGCCTTTGGTTTCGAACATCCCTGAAGAAACTGGGAGACATACCGGTCCCAGTTTGTAGCCCCCAAGACTTGAGGAACGTTGCATGGGTTGGAGCTTGGGGCATGGGCCAAAATCCAGAGGCAACGCCTCTCCACTCGGTCTTGGCGACCTCCTCATGCGCACGTGAGCTCTTTGCTTTCATCCTCCTCTGGGCTGTTCCCTGCTGCCGTCCTGCATTCGTTCTTGTCGATCGTAGCGTTTGTGTTTCCAACATCTTTTGAGTTCTCTGTTGAGTTCTCTGGGGTCTTCAGGTGTGCCACGGAACCAAGTGGCTCTTATGCCGTATGCTTCAGGAAGTTTCCCTGGCCAGGTCTTTCTTCCAGGCACCATCGCTGGTGCGGCCCGCTGCGATGCCGAGGATAAGGTGATTCGCAGGGATCAGACGGGCTGCGGATGAAACTCTCAACCCTCAGCCTTGTACCCCTGTCCAGCTTGACACTGTGGCATCCGAGTCTCCGATTTCTTTGGGGTTGAGGGCCTGGTGTCGTGAATCCCAGGATGAAGGGGACGGATGCGAACTTAGGAACTTGGAACTTGGACAAAACTTGCATTGCCTCAGTTAGAATTCTCTCTGGTGACGTGCAGGTTGAGAGTAGCAAACAGAGCAGAGCGTTCATTCGATCCAATTGTCAGAAATTCTGTGCTCACGTAAAGTAAAGTGAAACCTGTGCTCTGCAAGTTTGTTCCTTTCATGCTGTGCCTAGCCTGATGCAAATCGAGAGCTCATTACTGGTTGCATGCGCGACGCCATGCATGTGGATTGTGACACCCCTGCTCCGGGGTCTTGTCCTTGCAGAGTCCTTGACAGACTGATGTGCAGGGTTCGCTTCATCACCTGCATTCTATATGGCAGGTTAGTTAACGTAAACATGCCCGACCCCCTCAATCTGCAAATGCTTTCAGCCAGCCCTAAATCTTCCCAGGCCAAGTTCGATGCTTACCTGAAGCAGTTGCCGATCATGCAGCTTGGGCCTCGGTTCCTTGCGGCTTTGAACCCGAAGTTCTTTGGCTGTTCTCCTGAAAGTTTCGGTGCAGAAGAGAGTCAGTGCTTTGGTGTGGGGTTGTTAGAGGGTCAACCATTCTCCTTGTGTCGCCTGGTCTCCGGGCCCGCCCACTCAAGTGCAGTCCCGCGTATCCTTGGAGTGCCATGCCAGGGTCGTTTTTTCCCCGCCTTCGGTGTGGGGTTATTAGATTTTGAACTCAGCTCTTCTCCTCGAAGGGAACTCTTCTCTTCGCCCCCCTAGAGACTCCCTGGAGTGCCCAAATGTGCCCAGCCCCAGAGACTCGGAGTGCCCAACCCCAGAGATTATCTGAAGTGCCCAACACCCAGAGACTCCCAGAGTCTCCCTGGAGTGCCCAACCCTGAAATGCCCAACCCCCAAATCCCTATGGTGGGGATGTTTGAAGTAAAATATTTTTTTCGCAGATGTAGAGTCCCGCGTACCCTTTGGAGTGCCATGCCCACCGACACAGACAGATTCTACAGGTAACAGCACTGGTTGTTTCAATACTTAGCTTTGAGCCCACATTGCGATATTTGAAGCTGGTGGATACACCCAAAATTTGCCCCAAACCCGTTCTTCGAGCCCGAAACCAGAAAACACAAGAAACCACGGCTTGGATTGGCAATGGTGCAGTGTATCTTTGGGCTGAGGGCAACTCGATTTTATGAGGTGATGGCCTCCAGTGCAAATTCTTCAAGTGAGAAACACATACTGTGGTAGATGTGTTCAACCTGCCAGGCGTGAAAAAGCACATCAACAGGTAAACGGTATACATGAAAGGATTGCCCCCCGCCCCAACCCCCTCCTTTTTCCTGAGCAAACGAAGGTGTCCCATTTAAACTTGGGAAATCCCAGCACAAAATAGAAGACCAGCATCAGTATTTAAGGCACA